GACAAACTAACTGCAACAATGTCATTACTATAGCATTAAAACAGAAATATAAATGTGCAAGACACATTGTCCATTTATCAGACAGAGATGGACACAAAAAGTAATGTAGTGATGGCCCTATAAATAACACATGTCCACTTGGATTATCTTGGATGGACTATGAAAAGATCTCAGTCCCAATTGGGATGCCATGGCAAAAGATTGAATGAAGCTGTCATTTCATATATTATCTGAACTTCAACATTATCTGGATGAAAATGACAGTGAAGTGATAAAGTGAACATGATCTAGACTAGATGCAAGTTCCTTTGAATTTAATTGCAAGAAGATATGAAGTGGCAATAAAGCAAAATATGTATAAAAATCAATGGCTGAATATCTAATTTAAATGTTACTGCTTTTAGATATGTTGAAGGCATAGAATTGCACTTCCACCAAACACTAGGAAAAATCCTATCAGAAGAAATTATAGGCTGTGTTCACATAAGGAAACCTATAGTTTAATTAACCATAATGAACTAATTCAACCTAATTGATTGGATTCACATAACATACTGTGCCACGATCTGCCACAATCATTTTAGGTTGGTATATCAGCCATAGATATTCATGGATAGGCAAGTTGCAGCCCTTCAGTTACTGCTGAATTAAAATGGTCAGCACCAGAAGTGGAATTCAGCAGGTTCTGACCAGTTCTGGAGAACTGGTAGCGGAAATTTTGAGTTCAGAGAACCGGCAAATACCACCTCTGACTGGAGATTTTACAGTATCCTTCCCCTGCCACGCCCACCAAGCTACACCCACAGAACCAGTAGTAAAATTTTTTGAATCCCACCACTGCTCAGCACCCTTCATCCTTAACCACTGAATGCCTAAACAAGTGGAGACTTTAAGATATGTGGACTTCAACTCCCAGAATTCTATAGCCATCATGGGAGTTGAAGTCCACACATAGCATTTGCGTTATTCCTGGAGTGCTACAGGTTCCTCACTTGTGCTTAGGCTATAAAACAGAGATTGATCATTGTTTTCAGGCCCTGGATTCTTTCCCCAAATTACCTGAAACCCTGTGAGATGTCTCATTTCAGGACTCTTTCCCACAGCTTAAATCTCACGAGACTTGGTGATCTTGTGTCATTATAGCTATTTAAAAATCCTATAATTTAATTTAATTTACGTTAGTGCATAGCCAAGAGTGGAGTTTCTAAGCGGATATCTTTGGATGTGTTGGGATTACAATTCCCAGAATTCCCAGCCAGTCATTCATGGTTATTCTGAGTTGGAATTTTGAGCTGAACTTTAAAACAAGGATGGACAGCTTAGAATTATCTAGATAATGTGGGTCTGTGACTTCTCCAATGTGTTGTGTTTGCTTCTATTAGCCGATGGAACTAAAATCTCCAGGGGCTTGGAGACACCAAATTTTATGCTAGTTCGAACATTTCTGTCAGGTGCAAGATTGGGGAAAGTTTCTATGGAGGAGGGAGAGAAAGAAAAAAGAAGACACAAGCCTTTTCTATGGAACTTGGATTTCATTCGCATCCCCCACAATTATTAGTACCAAAAAAATTCAACAACCAGAGATGTCTGGCAAAGATATAAAATGTGGGCTTGTCAAGGTTTATTCTGGAGTATTAGAAGAGGACACCTGCATTCTCAACATTATGGAAGCATGGCCATCTTTGGGGGGCAGGGGGAGATGCAAGAACAAACAAATGACACGTGAGTCATGCAGCATATATACTTGTATCAGATATCACAATATAAACTACATAATTAGATTATTTGCACAATATCATGCTATACATACTGTGTTTTTGATGTTATTTGGACTGTGAAAATACTGCTTGTTCCTGAATGCAATATTATGTTTCGGACTTGCCCTGACCTGGTTGTTTAGAAAAAAAAGAGCCTTGGACTGCATTGGTAGTGAAAGGAATAACTTTAATAAAGCCAAGTGGTTATGAGATAGAAAAAGCCAGATCTGAGGCTTAAGCCTACTTGCTTTCCCCTTTCCCAGGTCCCCACCCCCGCAACTATCTCCCAAGTGTCCAACTAGATTAAAAACAAATAGTTTTGGTCACAGTTCTGATGCTTGGCGGGCTCGGTGATGTTTCCGCATTCCATTCCCACGGTTGTGACCTTGAAGTCGGCTGGCCAATCTCTTCCCCTGCCCCAGGATTCATGATAGTCTGGCATCAATGAAGCAGCGGTGAGGCAAAGCAAGATGGCAGCACTGACATCATGTTTCCGTCTTGTGCATTGGTCAAAAATGAACAGGCATTAACATTATAAAAACGCATTTATTACCTTATGATTGTACCTTATGATTCTTGACTCTTTTTTTTTTTAAGCAAGTTTTATTAATTTCAAAAACAAACAAATCATCATCAACCATTACACATTTGAACCTTTTTCCATTATAGATTTAACAAGTCAGATAAAACCTTATCTTATACAATACAATTCTATTTTAAACCATTTCTAAATGAGCATAAAAACATCTCTTGTCCTCTATTTCTTTCTGACTTGATTATCGTCATTCTCTTTCTGTGTTTCTAGAAGGTTTCACCAATACTTCTCAAAAAACATAAACAGACACAAACAAACATATACAAAATCTTTTAATAAAGTAACTTGGCCCCCAGTGCCTCTCTTTATATGGGCTTTGATTATATTCATGCTCATCTTACAGATCATTACCTATTTTATTTACCATTCTGTATCTTCTATATAAACTTCTCCACACATTTCACTCTTCATAATTCTATCTTATTCAATCCATCTTAATTTAAATCATTATATTTGTATCTTTTGCCCATCCTTTATTATCCCTCTATCTCATTCCTTATAATGAAAAAAAAAAGAATTTCTCCTGAAATCACTAATCAGAGCATGATGCCTTTCTATCCTCTCCCTAAATTAATTAGATTAACATTTATAAACACCTAATACCCAATTTGATTCTGCTTGGTACATTCTATCTACTAATTTTTACTTTTAATAACAATAAAAACAGAATAAAAATCAAAAATATTTAAATACATAATATCCCCCTAAATACGTAGTTAAATAATAAATCTAAATAATAAATCTTATAGCATTCTCATTGCCTTTCCCTTCAATATTTTATTACATTTTAAAAATCAATCATTATTAAAAATTTCAACATTTTAATTTCTTATTAACTCTTAAGCCATTCTAATTTTCTATTTCTAATACAAATGTTACAATACCATCTTGTGTACCTTGCAGAATCTTTTTTAAGAAAATTTATGCTTTACCCATTATCCCTAAAAAAGATTCCTCTTTTCCCATCTAATTTTAAAACTTTGTGGCTTTTCTCCGCCTTTCCCCTTTCTTTCTTCCCCCACCAAATCTTCCTACCCCCACTTCTTCTAACCTCTGTCTTACCGGCATCCCTTCTCTGTTGTATTCCCTTTTTCTCTTGTTTGCTATAATTGTATTTATTTTGCATCATATTTTTCTCTTTCTTAAATGTTTTTTTAGATCTTAAGTCCTTCATTTTCCTCGCTTTCTTCCTTCCTTCTTTCTTAGATAAATTTTGGGATTCATTGAAGATGGCGTCTTCTTGTTGTTCTTCTACTTCCATCTGTATTGTCTGTTCGTAATTAACCAACGCCATTTCTTAAAAAAAAAAAGCTTTTTCCATGCCATCTTTACAGGCTGCTTTTGTTTGCTCATATTCATCCCTCAGTTCCTCAAAGGAAAAAGCCATTGTAGATCTTTTCTTTTCTTTTTTTCCCCTCTTTCTTCTCACACCAACCAAAATATTCCAAAAGAAAAATAAAACAATCCCAAAGTCCACAATCCTCAACCAATCCAAGCCAAGCCAAAAAAACCCCTTTCTCTTCCAGGGGTAGTATCAGACAAAGAAAAAAAGAAAATTCAAATCTGTGTTCTGAAGCCTTATTAAGATTTTATTTCTGTTTTCAAATCCTTAAGGCATCTCCTCCAACAAAGTCCAACCAAATAAATATATTTTTTGTCCTCTCCCTTCCGACTTATCCCAAAAAGCTAGTTTTACCTGAAAAAAAACAGGTTTCTCAATATCCATTTATTAATTCTGTTGGGGGGGAGAGTAAACTTTCCTTTCAGCACCTCAGAATTGCCGCTTATTTTCTCTTGTGGAAAAAATCACCCAAAAAGCCATCATTTTCAGGAATTTAATTAAATATATCTTAGAGTCCTGGGTCGACCAAGAAGACTTTCACTTTTAAAAACTTTCTCCTCTTCCTCCAGCGCATACTTGCCCAGCTGCCGGCTTCTTTGTGGCGGCCATTGCGGACCGCCGCTACCCCGTCTTGGTAAAAGGAGGTTCTGCCGGCTAGGGAGGGGGTCTGCAGCACCCCCAAACCCTTTCCCGGATCCCCCCTACCTTCAGCTGCCCCTGCAGGGCAGCCTTGCTCCGCACCCTTTCGGATCGGAGCCCCAAAAACGGCTAGCGCGGCAGGGATCGCGCAGCTTCGCGAATCCCTACCGCTCGCAAAGCCGACAAACCGGAAACTCCATGATTCTTGACTCTTGACGAATGTATCTTTTCTTTTATGTATACTGAGAGCATTTGCACCAAGACAAATTCCTTGTGTGTCCAATCGCATTTGGTCAATAAAGAATTCTATTCTATTTATTAAAACCTTCTTGTTAAGTTCAGACCATAGGCTCAGCCATGTTTTGTTTAATTATGACTTATTGGTAAACCATAACTGACTGGGTTCGTACAAAATGATCAGCTTTGGAACATGCTTTACAATTTACAGAGGTTGAGTTCACACGCTATATTAAACCAAACCCAAAGAAACTTTATTACACCCTAAAATGACATGCAAACACAGTCGTTGTATCAATGTAACCTACCGTAGTTATATAGACTTCAAATTGTTTGGTATGGCTGGTCACAGCTGACACACTACTACTGAAACAATGAATGAATTGTTATGTGTTATTCTCTCTCACTAATTGTTGCTTCACTCCTATAGCCTCCAGTCCATCTCCAGAAAGACAGGATGCCACAAGACCCATGAGCAAAAATCCTTTGACCTGGACTGTTGATGACGTGGTATGGTTTGTTAAAGATGCGGATCCTCAAGCTTTAGGACCCCATGTGGAACTCTTCAGGAAACATGTACGTAGAAGGCTTTCTGCGATACATGACAGGACCAGTGGTGGGATTTTTTTTATTAACTATCTGTTCTGTGGGCATGGCTTGGTGGGTGTGGCTTGGAAGGCGAGGCAGGGGAAAGATACTATAAAATATCCATTCCCTCCCCACCCCACTAACCTGCTTTCCAGCTCCGTTCTCCTGTGCAGGGCAACGAAAGAAGACCCAGCCAATCAGCTGGCGCTCGGGAGGCAGAGAATAGATGGGGGTGGAACCTGTCAAAGGTGATATTTGTTGATTCTCTGAACTACACAAAATTTCTGCTACCGGTTCTGCAGAACTGGTCAGAACCTGCTGAATACCATCTCTGGACAGGACCCAAATATAAGCAAAGTGCTTTGGTCTGTACTTGAACCAATGTAAATTGAAATGGTTTGACAGCTGACAAAAATTAGTCAACGTGAGTCTTCCTCCAGGCAAATAGAATGAATCTAGGGCAGTCTTTCTCAACCTTGGCAACTTGAAGGTAGGTAAAGTTCAATTCCCAGAATTCCCCAGCCAGCATGGGGAACTCTGGGAGTTGAAGTCCACGCATCTTCAAGTAGCCGAGGTTAAGAAACCCTGAACCTGGATCTCATGCACAACTTGATGGCAGCCATATCTTAGAGAGCCTGAGGTGGGGCTTGGATGGATTCCAAGATGATGGTTCTAAAACTCATTGTTAGTGCTACAGCTAAAGCAGGACTCCAGGGCCAGGCAGCCTGCCACTGAGGGTCAATTGCAGGAGAACTGAATGGCAGAATCATCTTTTTGTGCACTCCCAGAAATACCACTTCAGTCGCTGTGGGAAAAAGTCTGCTGAAGAGTTAGACTAATGGGCTGACCTTGCTTGGCTTTTCGTTTTCAGCCAGAAAAGCATCCAACAACTAGGTTTGCTAGCATTTTTGTAGAATAACAATCCTTTGTAAGAAAGATGAGAATTCAAAGATGGTTTTAAATCCTTCCCCGCCCCCTTCCTGGCACTCATTCACCTCCTGCTTATAATTCAGTCAGTTTCACAGGGAAACCTACAAGAGGTCTAGTGGTTGATTAAAACTATCATCATATTCAGCTCAATTATGCCTTTGAATTACTCATTTCTGAGCAATTGTTAACCTTCATAGCTAAACTGGATTAACAAGAAGACACCAGAGGTGAGAGACAAGTGATTACTCCATTAACCTTAACCACAGTTTTCAGCATGTTAAATCATTTTAAAGAGCAGGTGCATCATTTAAACTGATGTCCTGAATGCCGCTGACATTCCCAGCTCCTGACTTCCCTTCCTTGCATTCAGCTAATTTGGCTGTGACATGCCACCACTGTCCAATGAGAAGAATTATTGATTTAACTTATCACAACAAAGAGAGATCAGCAATGTATATACTGAAAACAACACCCGTGACATCAACACGTCGTGTCTTAATGAAGGCATGCTTCATTACTCTTGGGATGTCTGATCTTCACCAGATCCTAAATCCCTACATACAGTAGATGTTCCTCCCCCGCTGTGCTGATCTATGCACTTTCAAAGGAGAAGTAGAACAATATAAGGAAAGTTTGGGCTGTATTTAAATATTGGCTGAGCATAACAGGCTTTCTTTGGTCATAGCTCAGGTTATGTAAACTCTGCCCTTATTGTTTCTAAGCCAGGATTGATAGCTTAGTATATTGTATAATCGCCAACATGATTGCCAACATCCGATAACAGATATGGCACAAGAAGAAGAAGATATTGTATAAACTCAATTGTTTGTGGTTTGTTCAACAAGCTGTATGTAAAACAAATTGTGCTTGAGTGTGGAAATGGAGTCATTGGGCTAACTAACAAGTAAGAAAGCCCAAAAGTGAGATTTTGATGCAAGAGAATTCTCATTGAATTCTGATATGTGACCAAAAAAAAATAATACAGGAGAAAAAGTGCAGCTTTTGAATGAAGACAGATTGGACCTGTTCATTCAGAAATGGATCTGTCCCCTCTGTTGATGCATAGAACAGAATGCATATGTATTTCTTAAGATCGAACCATCTTTGCATGGATTATTTTAGCTGTATTTCCAATTAGTTAACCCTTTACCTTAATAGAGTGATTGTACTGCTGGGCAGAATAAAGTTTGCCTTCCCACTTGTTTTAAAAACAGAGCAAGAGGAGAGAAAAAAAAGAGATGGCAAAGCAATCCTTCCATTTCTGTTCAATTACCAAGCAGAATGTTTTACACTTTAAGAAGCCACAGCAAAGTCAGCCTTGTGATTTAGAGCTTGTTTGCATTGGTTAGTGGCTCTCTCAGAGAGCTTTACACCACTCTTGAAATATTAAACCTGACAGTCAGTGTTCACAGGATTAGATTGTAATAAAGCAACATGAAATGTTTCCAGTTGCTTTATACTTTTGCAGCCTCACAGAGTTTGAGAAGCCAATGCATGTTATGAGCTCCGGTGGCCATTATAAGCCACCCCTGAAATGATTAATATAGTTCAGCTTTATAACTGAACCAAGCCTGTGATGGAAGAATATGTACTCAATCACTGCCTGGCATGCTGTTTCTGCTTTACAAAACTCTCCAGAGCTTTTTATGTTAACCCCAGATTGCTGGATGTTATTTAGCCATACTTTGGGATTGCAATGCACCCTAGCTTTTCTAGTTGATGCAATACACCCTCCATGAAGGAGATTCCCAGCAAGTGAATCATGGAGAGGAGTATCTGAGGAATATGTTCCCTTTACAAGAAATGTCGGGTTTTTAGGACAATGCACGATCCTCCTGGTTGTGGGAACTTGTTTCTGCCTCTGTGCCTGGGCTTTGGAACTAGCTGGTAAGGGCCCCTTGTCCTTCCTGCTTTTACTAGGGGGTTGCAATCTTCCATTTCATGAAGAGGACAATTTTTGCACTGTGAAAATTGTCCCCAAATTCTTTCAACTTTAATGGAAGCTGCTCCATTATCTTATTGTTACTGGCCAGGCATGTTTGGTGTCTGGTGACAACCATGAGGCTTGAACTGAAGTCCCCATCCCTTTTACCTGCTTTCAGACACAGGACATATAAAAAGGGGAAAGAGGTTCCGCAGTGCAGCCAAGATTGCCATCTTGACTTTATTTTTGACATCTCCTGCAAAGATCCTGTAAAGGCAACTTATATAGTTCATATTTGAACTGTTTTGCTTTAGTGCATTAAAGTCCTTTCCTTTGCCATTCATAGTCATCTGACTATGAGCATAAGAGCCGTGGTGGCACAGTGGTTAGAATGCAGTATTGCAGGCTAATTCTGCCAGCTGCCAGGAGTTCGATTCTGACCAGGTCAAAGTTGACTCAGTCTTCCATCCTTCCGAGGTTGGTAAAATGAAGACCCAGCATATTACCCAAATGAGGGCAATATGTTAACTCTATAAACTACTTAGAGGGGGCTGTAAAACACGATGAAGCCAGTGATGGGATTCAAAAAATTTTATTACTGGTTCTATGGGCATGGCTTGGTGGGTGTGACAGGGGAAGAATACTGTAAAATCTCCATGCCCAGCCCACTCCACTAACCTGCTTTCCAGGTCCGTTCTCCTGTGCAGGGCAACAAAAGAAGACCCAGCCAATCAGCTGGGACTCGGGAGGCAGAGAATAGATGGGGGCAGAGCCAGTCAGAGGTGGTATTTGCCGGTTCTCCGAACTACTCAAAATTTCTGCTACCGGTTCTCCAGAACTGGTCAGAACCTGCTGAATACCACCTCTGTATGAAGCCGTATATAAATTTAAGTGCTATTGCTATCAGGGGCTTGTAGATCTTCCCATCCCTGTAACAGAGGTGGTAATCTGCAGGTTCTGACCAGTGCTGGAGAACTGGTAGTGGAAATTTTGAGTAGTTCGGAAAACCGGCAAATACCACCTCTGACTGGAGATTTTACAGTATCCTTCCCCTGCCACGCCCACCAAGCCATGCCCACAGAACCGGTAGTAAAAAAAATTTGAATCCCACCACTGCCCTGTCACCTGATTCGTCAGTTTGTAGTTGCTGCTGTTCTGAAAGATCATATTTCCTTGTGATTATGTAGTCCTCCAAGCACAGACATCTGACACTGGCTCTGTACTTGGAGGACTTGATGGAAGCTAGACCATCAAGAAAATCAAACAGCTGCTTGATTTCAGTTTAGTGCAGGACTGTCAAACTCGCGGCCCGATGCATCACGTGTTGGCCACGCCCACGCCTAGCTTTGCAAAGATGGGAGGAAAGTCCCAATATGTCACATGACACCGCCATGACAACGTGCATTTGACACCCCTGGTTTAGTGCTTGTCTTTTCGTGTGGTTCATTATTCAGTGATCTGGTTATTACTTTTGTGTTCATTTACATTTTTATGGAAGGCATTTTAATATTGTATTCTGCCAGCTGTTGCATGGCATGGCAGGTTGCATGAACGTATTTTAAATAAATAAATTCACCAGCACTTCAGTTAAATAGATCCAGTTCTGGAATGGAAGAACATTTGGGAATTGAGGTCCTACTTGGTTGAATTTCTCAAAAATGTTTAGCATCATCAGAGACCAATTCTTTCTACAGCATTGCAGTAAATTGTTTTATTTCTTCTGCAAACACAGTTCCAAATTATGATTTATGCTTTTCATTCCATCTTCTATCTTTCTTTTTGTATTAGGAGATTGATGGCAATGCTCTCTTGCTACTGAAAAGCGACATGATCATGAAATATTTGGGTCTGAAGCTGGGACCAGCACTCAAACTCTGTTATCACATCGATAAATTGAAACAAGCCAAGTTCTGATGCTTTTTTTTAAAAAGACCAAACAATTCCAATATAAATCAAGGAAGTAGATGAAAGGTAACAAGTTGCCTTATGGAAAGATAATCCATTTTCAAGCTACTTCTCCTCTGTTTTGTTGAACTTGGCCTTTATAAAAGTGTTCATCTTCAACCATTTTAATTCAATGAAGGGGAGGGGCGATGTGTTTTGCTGATTTGTGTGAATACTTTTCCAAAAAAGTATACAATTATAATTATTTTGTATTATTCATATTGTTATTATTAATATTATTATTAAGTCCTATTTTTGTAATCATAAAAGAAAAATTGTACGCCAAAAGATGTTCCCTACTTTTTCTAAAAGAAGAAATTTGAAAAGCTTTCTTCTGGGCTGCTTCACATAAGTCTGGTCATTTCATCTGGCCACATCAGGTGACTTGCCTTATGAATTTGCTATCAGAGTCAGAGCATTCTCATATCACCTCAAACAGAGTGGTTTTCAATTGGAATCAATGAATGCATTTAGCTGCCAGTCATCAATTGTAATCTAGCAATATTCATGCATCTGCGAACAAACTCATAATCTAATTCTTTTGTGTAACCACACATGCATTTCTTTAACAGAAGACCCATCTATATATTGCCCAGTGACCTGGGAGGATCACAGAATATTCTGGGAATATGAAGATAAAAATTGTGCTTTTACTTGGGAGATACACTGTGAATTTAATCATGTTTATGTGGCATTCAGCCTGTAAACCGACTGGAAGTTAACTGTATGCTGTTCTCCAGGTTCTTCCTTGCAACCTTGAATCATATGCTTTCCAATATAGCCATCAGCATGAAGGTTTCAGTCATGTGATTTTGGATATCCAGGAGCACATTGGCAACAGATTGTTTCATAACATGATAAATATACAACATGCCACCAGTTGAAAATAATGAGCAAATATCCCTTCTCTAGTCTGCCCCCAAAGTCTAGGAAGTAATTAGAAACTCAGTTGCTCAGCATTTGACTTTAACTGTTGGCTGCACAAGCTCTAGATAGAAAGGTCATGGCCAAATATTTGTAGTTCATAGAACTGTTCCACACTCTTTGAAAATGTTAGGAGACAATTGCTAACATCACTAGAACAGAAGTCACGGGTGCTAATTTGCTTAGTCATTCTTTGGTGGTTAGCTGGCTTACCAAAGCTGTCCTGAATGTGCAGAGAAACAGACTGCCAGAGGTCACATACCCCCCAAAGCTTTGAAGTGAATAACATCTGCCTGCTCCGAGCTTGAAGTAACTCAAGGGAAGTATATGTTTTGGCAACTTGTAATAGAAAGTGCTTGTTGCTGGCCAGGAACCATTACCAGTGACTGCTTAGCAGTTCCAATTTGTGGAGTGTAATCCACTCTCAGCCACATTTCGTACCCAACTTTGATGTGATTTGGTTAACTAAAATAATACTGCAGTTACTTATTTGATGCATGCACAGTGATCATAGGTTGATTAGATAAGAGCCAGGAAACCCACAAATCCAATTAATTGAACATATTATGTCATACTATGGTATTATGGGAAATCTGTCTTGTGGTTTGCACTATTTTGAAAACTTGAATTATTTCAGTAGGAACAGGAACATTTCTCTCTCTTATCTGAAGTATCCTGTTTTGTCACGAGAGGATTTGATGTTAATCAACTTCAGTCTTAAGCTGTTGATAGCATCATTGCACTCTAAAGAGCAACTTTCCCTTGAGTGCTATCTCACCTTTAATCAAATATGGGTTTATAGCTTCCACTCTAATCAAACCTTCCTGTTGCAGATAGTACTTCTACTTTTCACATGTAGAAGACAGTTTTTGGAACAGCAAATGAGAGTCCGATGGTCAGGAGTTTGAGTTAGAGAGTCTACAAATCTAACAAATTGCTTGATCAACAATTTTCCTTCTTGATCTGGTCCTATTCTTCAAATATTGTGTATTTGGAATGGGGGAAGGGGACATTCATGCAGATTATGCATCAGGAAGAAAGGTAAAATAATTAAACACTGTGCTGTAAACTTACAAGGATGTTTACTCTAGAAGAAACATACATTATCATTTATTTTATCTTGTGGCTGAAGTTAGAAAAATTGCATTAATCATCAACAGCTGTGTTATCCTATACAGCTGTACTGCATGTCTGCCATCATTCCATCTACATGCTACATCTGATAAGCTGTGGGAGAAGGCGAGGACAAGATCTTTTAAGTGATAAATTGGAAATGTTGAATAATATCTTGTTTTTCTCGGTTTAAAAATTGTGTGTAAGTACATCTCAGAGAAAAAAAGATAGGGTTTTGCCCTAATATTGGGAATGTATTGGGAACATATATTGGGAATACATTCCATTTATTTGTTTAGATTAAAATAATCTCAAATATCCTGGAAATATTCAGAGTATTGGTGTCCAAAAATAGAGCAGACACATATATTCTTATTGTTATTAACTTGAATAACGTTATGCCTTGTTGCTGCAAGGCATGGACCTTTCTACATGCATCAGATGTTTTACAGATAGGGAAAGAGGCCACTTGGAGTTTGTCACACACACAATGTCAGCATATCCACAACTACTGGTCCTCAGAGGTGCGTAACTTGGCATCGTGTTAGCATAATTGCAGGATGGGTCCCTCAGGAGCCACCCGCATGCAAATGAGCAGTTGTCTTTCAGAACTGTCTTATTATGTGTAGATCACCTTCTCATTAGACTGGAGGTATATATACATATCTTGATCTCTAGGGGTTTAAACTATTTTTGTAAGCACATTTAAATCAGGTCAAGTCCTCCGAGGTTTGGTCAATTAAACCAAAATACATATGTGAATAAACTCAACAGTGTATCCAATAACCGAAGACGTAAGTGTTTGAGCTTACTATAAGTCTGAAGTGGCCTAGAGGATTAATTCCTTTAACTTGAAAATTTGTGAACACACGAACAAGATATTTGTACAGTTGTACAGTTAAGCACAATTCTTGCTTTTTAAGACAAAGGTGTTCTGCTTCATCTGAGTGTATATAGAGTTGAATATAACTGTATTGTTGAATTCTGCAAATCCCATGACAATCTTGTCTCATTCTTACTCCTCATTGGGGACATGGTTTTGTCCTTTAAGTGCAATTCTTTGTTTTGTTCCATATGTAAATATTGTTCCTCTTCAACAAGCATTCAACTTTCATTAAGAATGCCTCCCATTTTGATGAACCCTTGTGATTTTTTTAAATTAACAAAGATATCCACCTCATTATGTTAGCTTTTCCCACATTAAAAACCTGTATTGCTTCCTCTGAATTTAGATTTTATTTCCTTTTTTCCCCCCAACCAATGAATGACTCACAAATCTGAACTGCACCACAAAACCACTCTTATGGATTTGTTGCCATTTATTCCTAGCTCACAGTGGCTGCTAGCTCTACAGTCTTTCCCACCTATTGTATCACTGTACAATTCTGTGCTTATTTGAAAATAATGTCTATTGAGCTGAGGGCAGTAAGTTCTGAAGAAATTGGATTTCTGTGCATGAGACCTAGTGTATAAAATGACTACTTCTGCAAATACATATGGAGCAATGCCATTTAGATGCTCTTAAAATAAAAAAATGCAGATACACATAATATCATAAACTGGATTTATGGCTTTGCACACTCAGTCATTAGTAATAGAAGGTGGGAGAGAATTGTGTAGATGCTGATGCAGTAATTAAAAGTGACTTAACTTTGAGATGGAGGCAGCTGAATAACCCATGCACGTGGCTTGATTCACACAACATGCTAAGAAAAATAACCTAAGAAGTCACCCTGCTGGACCCAGTTTGTACAACTATGGAAATATATATATTTTTACAATTACACATTGCCAGACTTCAGTGTATTTGCTTCCCTTGCCTTCAGGAGCAGGAGTGAAATAACAGGGAGTCTTTGACTTACAACCACTTTAGTTACCGTTCAAAGTTACAACAGCACTGAAAAAAGGGACCTATAACTGATCCTCGCATTTACAACTGTCACAGCGTCATGTGATCAAACTTCAGGAACAGGGCAACTGGGACATATTTATGATGGATGCAGCATCCTGGGGTCATGTGATCACATTTGTGACATTCCCAGCCAGCTTCAGACAAGCAAAGTCAATGGAGGAAACTGGATTTGCTGAATGACCACGTAACTCACACAACAACTGCAGTAATTAGCTTCACTGTGCGAAAAAAGGTGGTAAAAATCCAGAATGACTCCCTTAACAACCACCTTTCTTAGCAATGGAAATGTTGGGCCCACCTGTACTGCAATTATCCTTAAAGCAGAATATGGTATTTGCAGGGGGTGGGCTGCTCAGGGTTCGCATGGGTTCGGGCTGGTCAGGGTTTACACGCGCTCAGCGAACCTAAAAAAGATGTTGAGACTCTAGAAAAAGTGCAGAGAAGAGCAACCAGGATGATTAGGGGACTGGAGACTAAAACATATGAAGAATGGTTACAGGAACTGGGCATGGCTAGTCTAGTAAAGAGAAGGACCAGGGGAGACATAATAGCAGTCTTCCAATATTTGAGGCGCCCCACAGAGAGGAAGGGGTCAAGCCATTTTCGAAAGCACCTGTAGGCCAGACAAGGAATAATGGATGGAAATTGAACAAGGAGAGATTTAACCTGGAAATAAGGAGAAACTTTCTGACAGTGAGAACAATCAACCAACGGAACACCTTGCCTTTGGATGTTGTGGGAGCACCATCACTTGAGACTTTCAAGAAGAGATTGGACTGCCATTTGTCAGAAATGGTGTAGGGTCTCCCACTTGGGCGGGGGGTTGGACTAGATGACCTATAAGGTCCCTTCCAACTCTGATTATCTGTTACCTGATGTGAAACTGGTAGAAGCCCACCACTGATATTATGTATGTGTTTACGGATCAGTTCATTAGTCCTATTCCACTGAAGTGAGCAGCACTTGATCTGCCTTCAGACCAGTGGTGGGATTCAAATGTTACTACTAGTTCTATGGGCAT